TCTATGCAGAATATGTCCGTAGGAAATAATGAATTTGTCAGCAATGGCGACCCTTGAAACTAAACGTGAATGAGAAGCTCCTCAAAGAATTCACTACTACCTACAATGAGAATAATAGATTGGTCGTAAGTCGGTAATAGTTAAAAGTAAGTTGGTAACGAAGGAGAGCGTGGTCGGTCTGGGCAATGCAACTAACATAGGTTAGGCCAAAGTAGTTGCCTCTTTGATCTAAACACGAACCCAGGCGTAGGACCCAAGCGGTCAGAATCGGAAAACTTGTTGACTCAAGCGACCTGAATCTGGAAATTGTTGACCACCTCTCGCATAATAGATGGATTTTGATTGTTAAATATTGACAAATAATCTCTGATAATTATAACTTCCCGTCGGATCGTCCTTCTTCGAAGTCCGACAGGAAGGGAATTGAGCGGAGGTTATCCTATCAAATCTTCTCGATATTAACTGTCATTTTATCCTTAGACAAATGCATTCAACGCGTGTTCGATTCCGAAGAGTAGGTGAGTGAAGTTCGAAACGAATTTATGTAGGGAAAAGTCTAGGCAAATGAGCGGAGTCTCACTCACATGATAGCAATGGGCATGATGAAGTGTGTATATTTCAGAAAGCGTCGACCGAACCACCAGACATTCCCGTTCCTTGTCCGTTTCCGAATACAGCAGCAGTTTTTTCGAGGTATCAAGTTTGATCCTATAATTGCACTATGAATAACAAGGAGTGGATCCAATGGCAGAGGCCTCTGGATGCTCAAGCTGCTCGCATCTAGCGCTAATGCTAATTTTTCTGCAGCAACGGAAAAAATGACATCAGAAAAATAATCTGACAATTAAAATAGTGAGCCTATACTTGATTTTCGGGTCTTCAACGACGTCCCTGGTGGCAGTAAGGACACAATTCATATGAGGAGCCTGGGAAACCCGACAGGAGGCCCGTCGCGCGGCAAGAAGGCAGAGTCGGCGGACGAGTCGCAGCGCGTGATGTGCGATGTAGGACGTACAATGGACATTCTATTTAACTTGACGCGAAAACTACAGTACGCGCTGCGACTCGTCCGCTGACTTTGCCTTCTTGCCGCGCGACGGGCCTCCTGTCGAGTACCCGAGGAGCCTGCTCTCAACGTAATAGGTTTTGGTGTAGAAGCAAATGGGTTATATTTTACAGTACATTGTTTGAAAAAACCCCATCTGAAACAATTGGCGTTGCAATGCAGAACCTATCGCGCGACAAGAATATCGCGGAAGTATTCCAGTGGTTCACGTAGGCTAGCGTGACATGCTTCAGAAACCCACCGCCAAAGGGTTCGGAGTCTCCTAAAAACAGAATGGCCTTGGCCAAAGACTAGGCATCACTGCGGTCGCTTCAGGGCCAAAATAAATTGGACGTAGGAATTTGTGCGTTTATTTCTGCGACTGACGGAAGGCCTACAATGTAGCGGCATCTCACATGCACGCCGAGCATGCGAGACCGGAAAATGGACGAATACGCTACTATCTCGATAATGCATGCCTATTCCATCAGGACGGACCCGCTGCACCAACCCTGATGAAGGAACGCGGATTATCTGGTTTATCCCGTTAGGAGTTGGTATCAGAGCGACTACTAAGATCAAACCGTCTGTGTGCCCACGTCCGTGGGGAGTTCGACTGTAACCTCAGCTTTAGGGGGGCACCAAAGTTGAAAAGATCGTGATTGGAGAGTGGGGTCGGCTTAGGGAATTGAAGAAGGGACTTTCTACAATTTCAACGAAAAGTGCAAGGGATGGGAGAACGTTCGAACTTGCTGTATATCCCTACCTTCCCCAAGTGCGTCTTTTAGTCTCAGAACCTAACGCTCTAGAAACAGCCAGCATTGTGGTGTTACATGGGAAGGAGGGAGAGATAGTGGTGAGGTTAGGGACAGGCTCAAAACTGCCTGATGACGAGGAGTCGTATTGACACACCCTTAGGGGAAGGGAGAGTCGTGAAAAATCCCGAGTAGACACGACTAGCCGTTAAGCAGGGGGGCACTTCACACAGTGTTCCAAAGTATGCGCCCAAAATTCTACCGCTCTTTCGAGCGAGGCTATAATCATTCCTAGAAAAACGAAGCGAAACACACCGAAGCAATCTGTGTCTGTCGAACTGAGGATATCCTGCTCGAGGCTTCATACGCTCTTCACATTGTGACATAATATTATGTACATGTTCACTGGAGCAGTTTTTACTTCGACTCAACGCGCACTGCGTTTGAAGGTATCCAAGAGTCGAAACCAGTTGTAGCCGTGATGGAGCATCATCCACTGGAGCTCCAATCAGAGGGTTCGCCTGAAATACCTCCTTTGAAGTGCTTGAGGGAACAGTTTATGCAGAAGTAATCACAACCCTTTAACTTACCCCTTCGGATGAAGTATGCGATCTTCGATAGTCACACCGAGCTAGTGCCACTCGATAACCAGCGGCTCCAGCAGTACTCACAGCATTTGCGTCGCATTTCCCGACACGACGTTCAAAGCACTCATCGAGCCACTAAAAAATTCTATACATACCTATAAATATTATTTTATCTTTGCAAAATTCACAGGAGAGTAATCCAGGTACTAAACCTATGAAATGTGAAACAAATGAAAACCCAAGAATAAGGCGTAGAAATGAAGCGCTAATTCGTCGTGACTTTCAAAACCTTATTAAAGCAACAGTTCAGGAACGGTTTCGCGGGAAAAAACCACCAATAATGAAGTTGTAGATGAAAACCAGACGATTAATGTATGAAAAACTGGAAAAAAACGTCGGGGAGGGTCTTAGACAGGTACTCTCCCTCTGCCGCTCAGCAATGGATAAAGACGCACGTTGGACGAGTGTCACTGAA